TGTTCACCATTTAAATTGCAATTCAAATGGTGTCCGCTGTTTAATGGTCTTAAGTTAGGAATTTATATTCTATTAAAGTGTTGTCATGGAAATACTCTATGAAGTATAGTTCTTGTATTTGTCGGAGGGGCCCAGACCTTCACTGCCCATTTGGACTGCCGTCCCAAGATTCCCCCACCCTCAAATGCCAATAGGCATTATGCCATTGTCAAATGATTAGTTTAAAAACACTAAAATTAAAAAAGTATATATATAAATACAAAATTTGTCATTAAAATTGCATAATATTTTATATTAAATAGAGTTATAACTTTGCAATCATATGAAGAATTGAAATATCATGTTAAGAATAAGCACTTACAAAACAGCATACACATCATAATCTTTCATGCTTGTGTAATACTGTATAGAAAATATGAAATTTTAATATTACATCAATATCAAATATTTAATTGTGCTTAATATGGTTCTTCTTTATTAAAAATGTGCTGGTTCATACAGTATACTGTAGCATGATAAAATTAGAATATAATATTTTAGTAATTTTATATATCGGTGGTTTTAACACTTTAAACCTTTTATCAGGTATCTGATTTTATATAGACTGAAGTTATTTCATGTACAGGTTTGAAAAGTCTTACATTTTAATCTTCCTTTACTTGATACTCCCAATCTGTATGGAACATGCAAATAATTATAATATTGAATAATACTGAATATTCATATAAAATGTATATTTCTAAATCTTACATACAATATATATTTTACTGTACTTCCTGGTTAACTCAAAACAAAATCTTGCATTATTATATAATAAAAACATAACCTTATCTCATTGTTTATTATCGACACATGGTTGTAATACCGGTTAGAGTAGATTCATCTGTGAATATCTTTTTTCTGAGTGGATAATACTCCAAGTCTGAAGCATTTACTATGTGTTTTCTTATTAGCTAATACTGTAGACCTGAGGTAGAGAATGTATTCATAAAATCAACATGGCAAGATGCAGTTACTGATCAAATTTAAAGTCATTGCAGGCTAAGAAACAATGTTACTACACTGATGTTTACTTAACCATGTGAGGAGGATGGGAAAACATCAACAACAACATTTACTCTTTTCTTTATTACTGTTTTTCGCAGGGTCAACTGCTTTTCGTGATAGGCCGGCCGTTGGATTCTGAAAGAAGTAGTATAATCCAAAATGGTTAAGTTTTGATCTTTTTAATTAATGGATGTATAACATAAGAAGGATAAAAAATATAACATTTTCAAGGGCTTACACTATACTGCCTGAAAAACATCTCCAAACATATAATGTAATACTTGTATTATGCTTATGAATATTTTAATTGCTTAATTACAAGTATTCGATAGAAATATATAATGAAGTCAGAGCAGGAATCCTTCTGGGAAGACATAAAGGCAACATTTAACATAAACACAACAAAGAAAGAATGTCGCTTTGTTAGAACTAAGCATAGACTATTCTCTTTGTTTCACTAATCTGCAGGTATGCTCTATACTCGCTCCCAGCGAAAGGAAATTTGATACTTGTTATGCAATGTCTATGCGTTATATACGTCTGGGTTAGACGATTCCATTATTTTTCGCTGGTAAGTCTGATTAGGAATCTGGCTAATATCCGCTTATCCAGGTAAGTAGTCACGAAATAGACAATGTTTCTGTCAGTTAACAGATGGACAAATACTAATACTAATTCTATATTCTTTGCACTGACTCTTGATCTTGTTAAGGATTAATTTTATAGCGGAAAAGATCGTAATTCACATGGTGGAGGTGTTTTAGTTGCTATAAAATCTTGCTTATGTCTTTCTCCTTGTCTTGATCCTATAGTTTGCAGATGACCATACTCTCTCCCACAAAATCAATAATATTAGGGACTGTATTGCTCTTCAGCAAGATCTTGACAAGATATACAATTGGTCAGTTGTCAATAAATTACCTCTAAATGTATCTACATGTGCTACTATGCATATAAGTAAAAGTAAGAACCCAATTAAATGGGATTATAAAATAGATAATATTTACTTAGAAAAAGTAAATGAATTTAAATTACTTGGTGTTTTTATAAATAATAAACTTTCATGCTATACACAAGTAAATTATATTTGTTCTAAATCATCACAATTACTAGGTTTTATTAATAAGTGTAGTAAAAATATATCATGGGCTGTAATGTTAAATCTATATAAAGCATTGATTCTTCCAATTGTTACTTATTGTTGTGCAATGTGGGCACCAGGTGACAAAACTAATATTAATAGAATTGAAAGCATCCAACGTAGAGCCACCAGAATAATTATGTTTAAAAAAGATGGTGACTGGGACACACATTATGAAGGTAGGCTGAAGACGCTTAACATATTAAGCATAGAAGATATTTTTAAATATCACCGGCTTGTTCTTGGTTTCAAAGTTCTTCATAATGTGTGTCGTTCATAAGAGTGAGCGTTGTGAGGGTAGGCTTATTCACTGGAAAGCCAAAAGCAATATTTTTCTTAATTCTGCTTTCGTGTCCTTTCACAGGCTCTAGGAAGAACTACCTCCTCTACTTCAAAACTTTGTTAATGTTTCCTGTTTTAAGAATAATTTAATTAAGAATTTTATTTCATTTTATGTTTCTGATTAGTTCGGATTGTTTTTGTGTATTTCATTTTATATGAAGGATAGGGAGCAAATATTGTTCGGGCTTTCGCCCATTCCCTATCCGGGCAATGCATGATGTTTTTCTCCTATATGCTTTTTGCCAAATAAATATTATTATAATTATAGTTACCAGGTTTTCTTTATTTCTAGTTCCATAATTATGGATAGAATCATTTTTCATAAAATATTTGTCAAAGGTGATTGGTAGTTTATGTCTATGCTATTGAAACATTAAAGTCATATTTTTTTTTTCATACAAATCAAATGTATTTTGATAGTGAATTTGTTTGAGAAAATAGTACTGAAAATGGATGCTGAAACTGGACTTGAGACCCCGAAGACGAGGAGATATCATTTGATAATCACTATTATGAAATAGTTTGTTCCATTATTGTGGTGTATTTTCCAACTGGTGTTTTTTTCCTATCCACACGAATACATTTGTAATCAGTCAAATTGTTATTATTGGTTATTATATCTATATATTATAGAGTATACTATTTTAAATTGACATCTGTTTATATAAAACAAAATAATATTACACATACTTGCGACGTTTCATCTGCTTTCATCTATACTTCATATGTATTATATAGGAATATAATATATTACTGTGGTTTATTTAAAACAAAGTTTAATGTTCAATATTATATTCAAACCAGACTATTCCAACATATATCTATACTTTTTAATAAAATAATTGTTAGGATATACATAAATACAGTAATAACAATCAGGGGCAGATCCAGGATTGAGGGGGGGGGGTTTGATAAAGCGTCAGGGGCCTGCCGGGAGACCAGGGGCAGCCAAGGGCCCCAGTTGGAGGTTTCAGAGGCAAAGCCCTCTGGAAGCTTTGCATTTAGCACTTAACAAAATGAATTTAGATGGCATAATAAAAGGAAGCAACACATTTTGTTTTGTCAGCATTTCCCTATATTTACATGCAAAAACAAAGTAAATATGATGCACAGGCAATGAAAAATACAAGATGTTACAGTGGGCCTATTTTTTTGAAGGAGAGTATCTACATTTTAAATATTATTGAAAGGCAATTTAATAATGAAAGAAATTTGAAGCAAATACATTTTATAAATTTTGTCGACGCCATTCTATAACATTTGCTTTTTTGTTTCGCACTCGATTGTTAAGCAATGGGTTTATTTTTTCTATGGCAAACGCCTCTTTAAACAGGATATACCATTTTGGAAACTGTCAGTATATTCGCTACTCAATATCCTGGATTTATAAAGTGTAAATTACATAAGTGCTTTACAGAAGAAAGGAGACTGATAGGAACTAGAATAGGCTGAACCTTCTCAACAGCATATATAATCAAACAATAAATATTCCTTAAGTATGGTTATTAGGCATCTATCTGTCTTATATGATAATAAATTATGCAACATGGGCATTTAAAATTCACTTTCTTCTCGGAAGTGGGCCTGGTGGCGCCGCCTCTGCGTAGGGTGTGGGAGAGAGCCCATTTTTCCCCCTGCTGGATCCGCCCCTAAACAATAGTTAAGAATACCTTAATTTAAACAAGACTGAAATTGAAATGATGTATCACAACCAAAATATTGAGGCAATAATAGTAATAGTAGAACAAATACATTTTATAAAAAATTTTGATTTCTAAATTTATAAACATGATATATTATAGCAACCTATTGTGTAAAACCATGTAACACCACATACTTAAAATTATTATTAGGGTAGTACTTTTAAGTGGTGTATTACAGTACTGTACAAGGAAGCCAACTGATTCCTTTACATGTTAGTCCTCCTTCAAAAGGGCCTGCTCAAAAGCAGGTAATATAACAAATGTCTATTACTTAAAGTGGTTTGGAGCAGTGGGAACGGTTCGGTTTCCCAACCTCGAGGTCGGGGTTTCAATACTCTCCCTTGTGTACTTGGGCAAGGCACTTTTTCTACATTGCTTCTCTCCACTCAGGAGTATAAATGGGTACCTGGTAGGTTCCACAGGCGTCTAGTAATGTGAAGCACTTTATAAATATAACATATGTGGCAAAGACAAGCCAAACTAGTCACTCGTCGCAAATCCTGTTTTAGAGAAAATGGCCAAAACATGCTGGAATGTCAAATTTAAAAAAATCTATTTTATTGCATTAAACTAACCTTTATATATCTACACATCATTCTATGCTGTTATTTCCCCCATTTTCAATGTTAAAACAATACTTTTAAAGGTAGTTTCTGCATGAGAAATGCCTGAAATCATAAACTGTGACGGTTAATTTCTCATATATTGTTCTTTAAACAGCTGTGTGGTTAAACGCTTGTAACTTAATAAGGAAATGTCCGATTTGAATGATTTTTTTTACCATTTTATAGCTATTATTTTACTCTCTAAAACTGTATTAATAACTCAAAATCGATTTTTGCGACGAGTGACTGGTTTGGCTTGTCTTTGCCACATATTATTATTATAAGGATTCTATTAAAAAGAACATAAATACAGTGCTGTATATGCAAAAAATACTAGAAAAATATAAATATCAAAAACATTAATTTTAATAAAACTGAAAAAATATATAAAAACCAAAGATATTATGGCAATGGCAAAATAACAAATGTATTTTGCAATTTCACTTGTTAACAAATTTAATATACAAAAACCAGCAGCAATAATACATACAATAATGTTACACAATATATAATATTCTATGAATATCCTAAAACAAAAATGAAATGGAAAATCAGCATAAATAACATATCTAAAGCAAGAAGAACATGAAATCCATAATATAAGAATTATAAAAACAAATTTTATTTCTATTTCTATTTCCTCTCTATGTAGTGAGAATAAAGCAGCTGTGGTAATGACCATGAATTCCATTGTTAATGTTTCCTGGTATACATACATCAATCGTGTAATTGTGAATATCGCCAGTATTAAACAGCCAACTCTCAATATTTCTGGAGGGAAAAATACAATTGCAGTAAAGTGAAAAATTCAGCATACCAACCAATTAATGTAACAATTTTCATGCATATATTTAGACTAATTAGGCTGCATACAATGAAAAGACACATACAAAATAATATAAAAAGAGCAACACAGATACAACAAAAAACTAGAGATATTATGTTCAATAGGACATGGACTCAGCCATTTTTCAGGATTTGACCCTAAGATGACCACTGTGACCTTGGTCCAATCGTTGGTTGCACTAGCAATATTTGATAATTTTCACCATAATGACCCTTGTGACTTTTGACCTATAGGCAAAGAGTATTTTTTTTCATGTTTTGAAAGTCCATAAGCGTCATTCCTGGTAAATTTGAGCTGAATTGGGCTATTTTGAAAATTTGACCACTATGTAACCCCTGTAGACTGGGGTGTAGGAGGTGTCACTGGTTCTTAATGATCAAATTTGATTGACTTCGGTTCAATTGTTTGCCATTAGTAACATTTTGAACCTTTAACCTATGAGGTGAAGAGTATTTTTTTCATGTTTAGAAGGTCCTAAGGATCATTCCTGGTAAATTTGAGCTCAATTGGGATTTTGCAAATTTACAATGGCAAGACCTAGGCCTAGATCGTCAAAGTCGGAGAATCGAACGATGAATATGGCGCACGCTTCTTAGCGTCTGTGAAAATAGGTCTACGTTTGTTTACATTCATTTCTATACATTTGTGTGCCTCGAGCACACATGAAGTCGCCCCCAATCTTACGTTACCAGGGAGTGCTTGTTTGCATTTCAATACTTAAAGCGGTCTTAGGGAAGACTGTTTTATAGCAATGGTCTTAGAGGAATGACTTTAGTAAGGCCGTCTAAGTGATAAAGCTGGCTTTATTCGAGAAGTTAAGACTACCAGTTAAGACCGTGTTATAGCCATCCGCCCCTGGAATAGTCACAATAAGGTTTTCAATGTGCTCAGTCATGCGTGACGTCATCTACGTGCAAAAATCATCCTAACCAATTGTCATTTCTCAATGATATTTAGTGCGCATAAACTTAAGTTTAAGGTTGAATATCACTTACTGAAATATTTCGCGTGCGCGCTATGATGCGTGCATCAAAATTTCAAAATGCTCAAAATCACTTTTTGACTACATTAGATCATGTTTTAGGCTATTTTGTTTCGGACACTGTATTCATAATATCAGGAGTAAACTTTTTGTGCCATTAACATGCGCACAGGCGTCAAGACATCTGCGTACGCAAGTATAAATCTTTTCAAATGCTTAAAATTACACGGAACTCGTCCTCAGTGACGAGTTCAAATCTAGTTGGTGATCCGCTTCACGAGCGGATAACCTCTTGTTATTGTCAGAGATCATCATTATCAAATTACGTTTTGTTACATATTTTTGGGTTCCTGACACTGTATTCATATTAGGGGCCACATTTATCAAACAAGAAATCAGAATAAATTCGTCTGAAATCCCTTTTTTTTTTGCTTAAAGCCCCATTCCCAGCAAAATTTCACTAAAAACAGACTTTTTTTTAGAAAAGATGCATATGCATTACTCTAATTATTATAAATCATGGAAAAATATTGGCATGAATTTTAGTTTTACGCAACAGAATAAAAAAAATGAAAATACAGACTATTTCTCATAGAATATTACCATTTTCTCGACGAATTCTTCGTTACTAGGCAAATTCAGAGGTTGTAGATTGCATCCGCTGGAATACTCTCGCCTTTATATATACTTATATAGTCAATAAAGTGCGCCCTCTCTAGTGGATTTGTACTTCGCATCTCGCACATTGTGGTTCTTGAGTAGGCCTGAGATATGTTTGTTTAAGTGTCAAAATCTCGGTCTGAATCAGTTTTTTAACTAATTTGAAATAATTCCTATGATATATTATACTTCACAAGTGTCAATAATAGCAACGGAAAATATCATGTCGGCCGTTTTTATGGCTAAAAAAAAAAATGTAAAATAAGTCTGAAATTTGATTTTCTGTGTTCCCACAAAAAATAAATGCCGATGAATTTTTCATGTCTGATTTTGCGACAGGACTATGAAGGAATAACATGGCCAGCGGAACCGGGGGCAAGGGGGAACCCCCCAACTTTTTAGCAAAAAATATATGTCTGGAGATTTTTGTATGATCGGAAAGAAATGCAAGAAAAGAAAGAGGGAAGAAGGAGGAGAAGGATGGGAAAGAGAATATTTATCCAGTCCCAGACCGTGTTACCTTTTCTCGCAATTCACATTAGTGGATCTGGGGGAGGGGGGTCATCGGTCCTGACCACTCCCTTGGGCCAAAAAAGAGGAAAAAAAGAATTCTAGACCTACCTTTTCAGGACCGGAGAGCTGATTATTTTTTTTTTCATTTTGAAGAACATAAAAGTCATTAAAACACAATTCAAATGTCGAAAAAGCTCATTTCCCGCCATCTAGGAATCACAATTTTCCATATTCCACAATTTACTATATTTCTATGTTTCCTATTTCTACGTTTAATCGGCCCATGTCTCAACCACAATATTTTGAGGTCAATATTATTTACGAACCAAGTTAAACTTGCTAATTATTACATTTAGGCGACGCTTGTTGTAGACTGGCATACATGGTACCAACGCTCGTTTTTACTATGTTTCTATGTCAGCTCGAGACGCTTGAGTATTACTATTCAGCGTTTTTACTATAACCATGGGCGGTATAAATGTCAACTCGGCCCAAGTCGCGGCACAGTATTTTGAGGCCTATAGTATTTACGAGCCCAGTTAAACTTATTTATGTCAACATGCTAATTATTACATTTTAAAACAATAATTAAAAATGTATTATACTAGGGGGCCGTGAAACTGTGGCCAAGTTGACTTGGTGCCGAGTTGACTCAAATTGAAAACTTGAAAACTCCTCATACTAAATGATCTCACCAAATAAAAAGTCCTACTCGAGGCCTAGACTAGCTAGGATGGTATAGGCCTAGCCTTGAAGGGACGAAGGTCCCAATGAATAACAACATCGCTCCTTGATAGCTAACACTGTCTATTTAACATTACAATAATTCATTATTAGACCTATAGTTGTTTTTTGAATTGTACTCCACAAATCTCAGCCGATACTTCGCACAACTCGTTAACGTCTCGTATCTATTGTTGTGACGTCATGGCTCGCCGGCTCACACTTGTGATGTCTCACACTTGTGATCAAATAACACGCTGGCTCGCAATTTGGCAATACTCTTTGGCAGTCAACTCGCCCCTAGAAAACCCGCCCTTGGAAACTTGCCCATAAAAAAATGTACACTTCCTAGACCATGCAGTCTTGAAAATAAAAATTGTAACCTTTGGTAATCAACTACATTTTCCACATACATAGAAATTTTTGAAACTTTATTAAAAAAAACCTAAACCATAATTCACCACTATAGGCCTAGACACTTTTTGACAAAAATGAAAAATTACGACTTTGTCACCCAATGAGAAGTGTTCTAATATAGACAATGGGTCGTGTCTCATATTATTTGTTATATTTTTATTATTCATTATTTTCACTTGAAGAACATTTATATGCAGTTGTACTTCGCAGGACTTCACTTGCAATTTCTAGTTTTAAAATTTTATGTATGTATACACTCATAAGGCCCATCTCGAATCAATCACTCTCATACAAATTGAGCTAAGATTCAGGCAAGATAGAAATGCTTTGATAGACTGGTGTCGTAGGTATGGCTTGTTGGCAACAAATATGGACTGCCCGAGATGCAATGTTCAATGTGAAGAAAAGGCATACGTCCTGTTGGTGGATCAGATAACCTATAGGTACCCCAACGAGGGATGCTGCAAAACAATATCAGAAAAGGAAGCTTTTTTGCCTAGAGTCAACTTGAACTGTGGCAGATTTTGGGGCTGACATACATGTGGTCAACGAGTTGTGGAAGAACAAGAGGACCGACATCACAAGAAAATATTAAAGAGGAACTTAAGATTGGAACTGATCATACAGTCGTGGATTGGAAGCAATTATGCAGGGACGTTGCAGTGACAGACATCTAATAAACCACCTACAACAACTTGGTGGCCCAGGAATTCTTGTTGAGGTAGACGAATCGGTATTTGCCAAACGTAAAAACTATGCTGGATGTTTGGTTCCTGAACTATGGATATTTGGCACATATCAACCCGATACTAAACATGAACTTTTGGTGCCAGTGCCACAAAGAGAGGCAGCAACGTTGATACCAATATTTACACAATGGGTCTGCAATGGGTCTGCAATGGGTCTGTCCCGTGGCCCGGTGCAACTACAAAACCGTGTGTACATGCATGGGACAGTGAACCATATAAGACACTATGTGGATCCCCAGACTGGAGTTACTACCAATCATGTGGAATCCATGTGGAAGAGGGCAAAAAGTAAAATGAAAGCAATGCATGGCCCAACAAACAGGAACATGATTGCCGATTACCTCGCTAAATTTATGTGGTATCGGCGATTCAGCGACGCAGTGTTTTTCAATTTTTGGACCCAGATCTCCACAGAACTCTATCCATTGTAAGAACTTTTTAAACTTTCAAAACATTGAAATTTTAGACTTATTTTTATCATAATTCTATTGTTGCTGTTGCTGCTGTACCGTAATTACTATAATATTTTTTATAAAATGTTGCATATTTTCAATACTTTTATAATTTAAATATACGATATATATGTAACTAGCAAGTCTCATATGAAAAAAAATAAACAAGTAGTTTGATCACATTGTGTTTGTATATTGACATTTCACCAGTGTTTATTTATACACAGTTTTATGTAAATAAAAGTTATGGAAACTTATTTATTGGCATTCATATGTCATTTCAGTTGAGTTATTAGACATTGTGTGACAGTGTTTGATTATTACATGGGTTCTCGTGAAATTTACAGGCTTAAAATTACAAACAAAATCCAATATTCTCCAAATACAGATATACAAATATTTAATGGCATACAGTATTCCAGCAGAAAAACTACCACAAACAGCAGTTTGATGAACATTACAAAAGTTGAACGTTAAACAAGATGCTCCTGGAAAAAAAAAAAGACAGTACGTATGATTTTGTTGTCGGATGTTTCATAGGAAAAAAAACTAACCCTAATTATAACACTGCCCTCTATGGTTTTTAAAATTTCTGAATTCAACAAAAAAAAAACCAAACAATATGGCAATTTTATTGATTGCAAAATAGCAGCAGTTCGTCGTGATAGATGATAGCAAGTGCTGTATTATTATAAAGGCATTTCTTTTGGTTGGGAAAACTTACTTTGTGAGTGGTTGAATCATGTAAACATGTTATATAATTACATTTTGTGACTGTGGCAAGAACACTGAGGTAAAAAATTTGAGAATTAGAAGTTAGGTGCGAAAGTGAATTAGGACGGATATCCGAGAGTTTTTGTATGAAATGTGAAAGATGTCCCCTTTCAGCTTTGCTGTTTATTCCAGTAGTAGAATTAATGGCAATTGTAATGACTTGCATGTTGGGTTTGCAGATCAATTGTGCATGGAGCAGGTTGTTGATTTTTCAACCTGTGATGATTCACTCCTTGATAAATTTTTTTCATTAACCATTCTAAACTTCATAAGAAACCTAAACAACTTTCCCCCCACCCCCCTAGGACGAAGCAATCACAAGTGTATCATCATTGATCCTTGTCACCAATTACCTTCAAGTAAATAAGCATATTCAAGTTAGACTATACAGGGACTCAACAGTAAGGCTCTTTGGTTCATGGATTACTACTTTTGATTGGAATAGTGCCCTTAAACCTAAATCACTAAATCAAGTCAAGAAAAACTGAACGGTTTTATGGAGGTTTTAAACAGTGCCTATACAAATTAGTTCCCAGTTAAAAAAATTTGGAAATTAATTGCCGATGATCTTCGGTTAACACAAAAAGTTCATCAACAAATTGACATTAGACATGAAATTTATATCCATGGTGCCAATGCAGAATGGAGAAAAATGCATAATTCTGTGCAGAGATGTATTCCATCAGCTAAAACGTAATTCTATGAAAACTCGTAAGGATTAAAAAATAATAACCTTTCAACATGGCACCAGAGTCTTCATAAGTTATGTAACCTAAAAAATCGACCCACGCTTAAATTTCCGCAAATAATAGGCGAGCAGATTAGAGGCTATTTTGGGGTGGAGGTGGCAATGGAAGTACTACTGGCTGATTTTGATATTTTCTGGAAATATAGGTCTTGAGAGGTTCAGAACTCAAAATTACCCAAAATCCCTTTGGGGGAACACCTCCAAATTACGCATTCAAAATGGCCACCAATTTTCCGCTTTAAATTATAGTTTTAGCTAAATTATACAAAAATTAACATTACTCGAATAATAATTATCAACAATTGGTAAAACTTACTCAAAATATTCGTTAATCATCGAAAATGAATCTTGCATTAAGAAAAACTGTAATTTCAATCACCATAGCAACCGTTGCTATGTAAATTAAATTTTCTATTTTATTCATGAAATTTAAGTATACAGAAAGCTTTAAGGTGATTATAATCTTCATTTACATAGGTTTTAAGAATATTTTTAACATCTGAATTATCTATTATTATTATAGAATAGAATTATGTAAAAAAAACCCTTGATATAATTGCATAGCAACACTATTTTTATCATCCATAGCAAAATCAGCAGAATTGCTGTACATTTGTCATTGACCAAGCAGAAATCATGAGATACAATATTTTTATATAAATAAACATCTCTTATTGGACAAAGTTAACACATTGACGTATAAAATACAAGGTCATCACCATAGCAACTGTTGCCATGCAAATTTAAATTTCCTATTTTATTCATGGAATTTAAGTACAGGTATAAGGGATGCTTAAAGATGATTGAAATCATCATTGTTATAGGTTTATGAATATTTTTGTATTTAAATTATGTATTATAGAAGAGCACTATTTAAAAACACAAAATCAAGAAACAACTTTATAAGTGCTATGCAACTTTTATAACTCCATAGCACAGATGAAATTCACATAATTGTTGTTATTAATTGTCTCACGTAAAATATTATTAGATTTGCTTATACATTTTTTTTTTTTTCTTACTAAATATCTCAGCAAGTAGCTGTATAGGCAAGTGTGGCCCCAGCCAGAGCTGCTCCACCTCCGCTAAAATTGATTAAATAAGCCTTTGAAACCCCTAAGAAGTCTAGAGAACATTTTTCACAGTGTGTGGGAGAGGGGGGGGGGGCACTAATAAGAAGAATTGGAATATGAATGGGTTCAAATTTAGGGGTGGCGGCCAAAATTTTTCCCAAAAAGGAGGGGGAGGGGCTCAGGGATCCTCCCTGGGAGAATTTTGATTTCTAGATGGCGGGAAATGAGCTTTCCTTATTTTGAGCTACGTGTCTATTAATGACTTGAGGACTTAAAAATCCTTCAAAATTCAAGGTTTTCCAACTCTCAAAAACGGTCAGGTAAACTTTCTCATTCTTGTTATGTACAGTAACATACATACATACATACATATTTGCATACGTGTTCTTTTTTGAATATTTATATCATAAGCATCATTTTTCCTGATGGCATAATTATATCAAAAACAACATGTTCTTTATAATACTAGTTTTCCAATAGTTAAACAAGCCTCACCTGATTGTGTGGTTGTGACTGTTGTCTTGTCCGTAGTGGGTACAGTTGTCAAATCCTCTGTAAAATAATGAATCGATAAACTGGTGGAATATTTATATCATAAGCATCATTTTGTTCTTAAATACAAGTTTCCTGATGGCATAATTATATCATAAACAACATGTTCTTTATAATACTAGTTTTCCAATAGTTCAACAAGCCTCACCTGATTGTGTGGTTGCGACTGTTGTCTTGTCCGTAGTGGGTACAGTTGTCAAATCCTCTGTAAAATAATGAATTGATAAACTGGTGGAATATTTATATCATAAGCATCATTTTGTTCTGAAATACAAGTTTCCTGATGGCATAATTATATCAATATCATAAACAACATGTTCTTCATAATACAAGTTTTCCAATAGTTAAACAAGCCTCACCTGATGGTGTGGTTGTGACTGTTGTCTTGTCCGTAGTGGGTGCAGTTGTCAAATCCTCTGTAAAATAATGGATTCAATATACAATAATAACAGAGGCACTTTATATGATTAATTAACTGTATCATAAAGTAAGTTAGTACTATATAATGTTTTATTTATTGCATATATGCAGCTCAATATAATGATTTATGTGGTTTATTTATGTAGATAAACTATTTAGCTAAGTTAATTCATGTTCAGAGAATGGCTACCCTGTATTTACACATTGTGTTATACTTGTATGAAGTCTGAATAGGGAGATTATTTCCAGTTCTCCCTAATCATACCATCTTTTTTGTGTTGTTTGATTTTGTTGGTTTTATTGATTTGATTGTTATAGTTTACTGTGGATGCACCATTGACGTACCGCTGTTAAAAAAGCATTTTTTTTTTTTTGTTTCCTGAATGGGGGAAATGAGCTTTCCCGAATTCTGAGGTGTCTTTCAATTACTTTTAAGTTCTTCATAATGGTTTTTCCCTACTGAAAACGATTCCATGAATCAATGAACCCCAAAGAGAAGGCGGTCCGGGTTACCCCCGGGAAAATTTCGGTTTCTAGATGGCAGGAAACAAGCTTTCCCAACTTCTGAAATTTTTGGCAGGACATGTTACGAGAAGTAATACAAGCATGCACACAAATGCCCCCATTTTATGTGGATGCAGTTACTTTTCGGCTATGGTTGATTCTGTATCTGTCACATTTCCACATAATTCATTATGGTTTAACAGTTCAATTCAATTCAATTCAATTCAAGTAAACATTTATTTCTTCACACAATACAATATAATATCAAAAGGTAAATATTGAACAGTCGGATTTCATAAAAAAAAAAAAGAAGACTTGTGTGAAAGAGGACACTGCTCAAAAAGTATACGCCAAATGATGAAAGGAAAAACCATTCATCAGGTGGCACTTGTAACGAGCGACCCATATAATAACGAAAGCATATATTTCTTTGAAAAAAAAAAATACATAAACGAAACAAATACAAAACACGGATACAACAGAAAGCAGAGGGGGGAATTGGAGAAATGATTAGGCAAACATTTATCAATATTATAATAATGGTATTAGAAAAATAAACCTTGATTTTGATTTGATTTAAGCATATTTAGATAAAAGATATTTCTTGACCTTAAAAGAGAAAATTTTCCTGGAAGGGGCCGATATAATTTCAAGGGGGAGTTCATTAAAAAGTTTGGAACCACTATATCAGCTATATACAGTGTCTATCAGCGGATTCTTCAAATCAATGACCATCTGTGATAGTTTATAAAACTAGGATGAGTTCTGCCGATGAACGATATTTTAAATTTTAACTGCAGATTCGGACCAATGTTGGGCAGGAGAATTCACACAGATCATAATTGGAATCTTTAGAGTTGCAATACAACAATGTTAGATTCCTACGAGTAGTGGCAGGTGACAGATTTACTACTAGAATTAGAGAAAAATCTGATGGTGGAATGGGCTATAACTAAGACATAGGTATCGAAGTGGAGTTTCCAACAAGATATGGACAAAATAAGAGATTTGGGGAGATATGTGTGTATATTATAAAATATACAGTATGTTATACAGAATGTATAAAGATACTTTAAGTCAAGAAAAGAAAACCATTGCACAATGCTTCATATAAAGTAAAAACAGATGGCTTGATGCAAAATGAATGAAATTTGGGAAGATATGTTGATCAAATCTAGTACCTAAACCAATGGCTAGTCTCAGTCTATATAGTGATTGTTACCATAGTGAAGACACTGTATTTTTCTACACTACTGTTTCATAATTTTTCTAATCATAAATGTATGTGGAATTATTTGAGATGTATTATAACTGAATTTTATCCTATGATATTAATAACATTATTGATTTTTCATTATACATTAAAATGTGCATAGAAATGGTTGTTATGGAAATGACGTTTTGTTCTATACATCATTACATAAATATCCCAACTGATTTTATATGGAAATTAAAAACCATATTGTGATGCAATATATGAAATTATATTTGAAATTTATTATTCATTAATGTTCTATGATATTTAAATTTTATATATTTTAGTGGTGGTGATTCACTGTTGGTCTGATGAAATGAAATAAATATTAATTAACATTTAATAAACATTTTTCATTACACTTAAAGTTTTCATTAAGTTTGCTAGCAATGGTTGCTATTGTGATTACCTATTTTTAACACCATTATGTACAACTTTTATCAACAAAGACTGTGTGTTTTTTAAAAAAAAAAGTAAAGCCAAATTAACAGCAATTCTAGTGATTTTTATTCATTGCTATGGCGATAACAATCCATATTGTATTCACATTAAGATGTTATCTTTCATTTATGTTATCTTACAATATTAATATTTACTAAACATCTCTCACAAAAACTTTAATTATATCAATAAGTTTCAGGTTTTCATTTTAATAATTTACAAAAAAATAGGATATTTTAATTAGCAACAGTAGATGACCTTGCTTTCATACTAAATTGTGTTATCTTAAATATTTAATAAACATTTTTTCATAAATCCTATACTAAATTTATTACTATACTTTACGTCTTCATTATATACTTATTTTATGAAAAAACAGTAAATTTAAATTTGCATAGCAACAGTTGCTATGGTGATGACCTTGTATTTTATACATCAATGTGTTAATTTTGTTCAATAAGAGATGTTTATTATATAAATATATTGTGTCTCATGATTTTTCCTTGGTCAATGACAAATGTACTAGCTGCTGCAATTCTGCTGATTTTGCTTCGTTGCTATGGACAATAAAAAGAGTGTTGCTATGCAAATATATCAAAGTTTCAGCATTTCTTTTTACATAATCCTATATGATAATAATAGATAATTCAGATGTTAAACATAAGCTTAGAATTTCCGCATGGCTGGTTTTCAATATCAACCAATCACGTATTCAGTGAGTCAATGGAAGTCAGAGCATACCCTACAAAACTTAAATTTGCTATTGTGACAACTGTGTGGTTGCATCAGAATAGCCAATTTAACACTGGAATGGAAGCACTGCTTCCAGAGGATGTGCGCATGCTCTTCTTCTCGCAAATCAGGACCTTCACTACCGATCGGGTATTCTATTTATATGCCTAATCTCAATGATTAAAGTTATAAATTTGCATGCATATAACTGGTATAGAAGAAACTTTTAATTATTATTATTTGAATTGAAATATGTTAAAATAGAGGAATAGGAATTATTTTGAAAAGAAGATACTACAACCATGCCAGTATAAAAATAACATTCATTTGTATTTTGGCTATAGCGCAATCTGATCCTGTATAGTAGTAGGCTTACAAACTTTTCCTACTAGCAGGCCCTAGCATCAGTGGCGTAGGGGTCTTGAAATGGATGGGAGCTGATGTGGTGGGAAGGTAAAGTGGGGATCGGTGATTAGATGAGGGGGCTAATTCGCAAAATAATATGGTGATTTGAGGTGATTATTAACTACTTGAGCATGATTTGTGGGCGGTGGATGGAGTATTTTTATCAGGGGGAGGGGCATGTGCAACCCTCGCACATCCTAGATATGCCAATACATAGCATACCCTGCAATTTACCCTACAGTCCGCCACTGATTATAGTAGACCCCGCTTTTTCGACGTATGAGGCTGCACTTCAATGCACAAATCTCACCACTCTCTATGTTAGGAGAGAAGCCCTTATCCTCAACTTTGGGGAGAAGATTTTACAATCTGATATCTATAGGTATATCCTTCCCAATTACCGCATTGTTACAAGAGAGGTTAGATCTATTTCCCTAAATAAACCCCCCTTGATATCCCATTTGGCAGGACTACCCATTTTAGAAATTCTCCGGTACTTACTATTAGTAAAATTCTCCATAAGTATAGGTAAACATTTTGATTAATAAGTAAAATTTCAGTGCAGTAGTATTTAGGTAAAGCTTTGATCTTTTGTATGTGTTTTTGGTGGTGTCGTTACTGTGAACTTCCGACTTATGTATGTTTAAACTAAGTTCCTTTGTTGTTGTCTTAAATCTGCTTTTTTTATTTTTGTGGGTTGTTTGGGTGTGTTTCCTTTCCCTTTTTTTCTTTACGTTTGTTGGGATTTTTATGTAAAGTTGTTAATTTTGATGATCATGTATATATAAATCTTGTTTAAATTAATTATTGAGTAATTGGATGAATAAATTAAGTCATTCCATATGAAACCAACACATTTTTTGCCCGACCCCCTTCAAATCGCCCAATATTTTGCATGTTGGGTTCTACCTGAGATAACCCCACAGTGAAATTTTTGGCTCCGCGCCAGCATTTTCTGATGAGTTAGAGCAATTTGAAATTTTCATGAGATTTGGCTAAAATCTCATCTCTGACAGACAACTGCTGATATCTCTCGATGATATCCGGACTAGTGGGAAATATTTGGTGTCAAATTATATGGTTATGGTTATATATAGAGAGACACAACATGTGATTAGACACAAAATTGTTGCCATTTCGGCTACAAAAAAATTAAGCAATTAACAAAATATTGATTTTTTTTGGCTTCAGTGACCATCATGTTGTGTCTCTCTATATATTGATTTTTGACAATTTTCATGGCAGCCATCTTGAATTTCAAAATGGCTGCCATCATAGCTTTTTCAAATCATGTTTATTGAACTCAGTTGACACAAAACCATATAATTTGACACCAAATTTAACGTTTTTCACCAAATAGAAGTGGAGTTACATGCCAAAAAATTCAATTTTCGATGGTTTTTTATGGCGGCCATTTGAATTCCAAAATAGCTGCCATCCTAGATATATGAAAACATGTATACTGGACTCGAAGAGCCCAATAACATATGCTTAAACACCAAATTTAGCAATTTTCAACAGAGAAGTAGAATTACAAACTAAAATATTCAATTTTTGAGGATGGCGGCCATCTTGAATTTCAAAATGACTACCATCCTAGCTTTTTGAAACTATATTTATTGCATTCAGAGAGCCCAAAATCATATGATTAGATCCAAATTTACCATTTTCCTTAGAGGATATGTGGAATTATACTAAAATATTATTTTTTTGACCATTTAAGGCGGCCATCTCGAGTTTCAATATGGCTGCTATTTTACGCTTTCGAAACCTGTCTCATTGGCTTCAGTGACCCTATGAACATATAGTTAGACACCAGATTTGCCCTTTTTCATTGGATATAAGTGAAGTTATGAGTCAATATCATAATATGTTCCGCCCTTTTTTCTGGAGGTTCTCCCTCGCTCAATTTCTTATTTATACCATAGTGATGCTAAATCAGCAGTGAAACCTTAATCCCAGAAAAATGGTCACAGGGCCCCTGATTTTCACTATACTGTGGTGCCAGTTTCATAGAATCTATCAGCAGATTTCCTGGAAACTCAGTCAAACTATCAATACCTAGGCACAAAATGTAGTCTAGAGCTAATATATTTTATTTGCCCACAATGAAACTTTAGGGGCATCATGTGGGCTAAGCGTCCTAACTGAGGTGTGAATTTTCCAAAAATCGAGATATATACTTTTGGGATATTTTGGGTCAAACCTTTAAAGTTTAGTTTTGGCCTTCCTGTTTACTTGTTTAGGCTGTTTATTCTAATCC